AAATTGCCAAAATCGAGAAATCGGAACAAAATCGGATTCCAAATTAAATCGGCTAACTTAAGTCATATTTGTATTTAATTAATATAAATATTTAATATATTAAATTAAGAAATGAAAAACAAAACATTAGTTAATTAATTAATTTTTCTAAACTTGAATATTGTTATTACGCTTTTGAATAGGGGTGTGCATTTTAACCGGTTCATCCAATCCATAACCATAAAATTGGTTTCCAAATATAAAAAATCCAAACCATTTGGTTATTAACTAACCCACTCCATTTAAAGAAAAACCAATAACATTGGATACCCATTTTATTGAAATTCAGTTCTTGTTCCTGATCCAATTTACTAATTTACTCAAATGTTAAAAAGTATCTCTCTAAATTTCCAACATAGCCAAAACCAAACCATTACAAATTGAATAGCTGGAATGACAGTTAATTTTTTCTTGGATCCCAACATTAAATATATTACTAAATATTATTTTTTTAGTTTAAAAATACACTATAATATATTTTACCTGCAAATGTGTTTGAATGACAACACAGTAATGGAAGTTGAGTTTCATCAATCTAAGACATGAATCTCCATTTTGAAATTCAACTTTCATAATACTATAATCAAATTTCAATTATATATACAAGACCAAACACCAAACTTACTTTAAAAAAAACTCTTCACATATCTGAATATTATTAGAAAATAAATAACACAGTAAAATAAGATATGTTGACTGAACCTTCCAATGTTTTCCAGCATAGTATGCATAAAAGTTTCAAACTGGTTAAGCAAAAAAATTGATTAAAACAAAAAATTGATGTAATTAGTTTTAAGAAAAACTAATCTTAACTGAATCAAATAAAAAACAGGTTGTTAATAGGAACCAATTTTAAACCGAATCAATCCAAATATAAACCAGTTTTAAAAAAATAATCTGGTTTTACAAAAACAGTTTTGAAGAATTAAACCAAACCATATATTTGGTTCAATTCGGGTTGGTTTGAGAATCATGCACACCCCTACCATCCAACATCCAAGCTTCAACCATATTGTTTGCTATATATGTTTTTCAATTTCTCGCACAACTCCTTTCTAAGGTTTTCATAAGGACTCACATAAGTTGCTATAAAAAAGCACTCTTTGCTGCCAGGATAGTTTACTGGTAGTTAACCAAGCAACAATGATACCTCCCAAAAAACAGAATTTTTAAATGCTATAAATCCATCGAAACCTAACAAGCGAAAAGTTTTCTTCAGTTTACATCTCGTTTCCATAATCACAATCAACACAAGTCTCCAAGTTGTTACATATTCTTTGTAAATTATTTTTGATATAAAACTTTATTTTTTAAAATTGATTTTAAAATTGGTTTTTTTTATAAAATTGATTTTGAAACTGGTTTTTTATAAAACTGGTTTTGAAATCGATTTTTTAAAGAAATTAAAAAAAGGTTTTTAGAAAAATCAATCTAAAATTGATTTCTTTTTAAAAACTGGTTTTTGTGAGAAACCGGTTCAAAACCGAACCGATCCACATGTAAACCGATTTTAGAAATATAAACCAGTTTTAATGAAGTAGTTTTAAGATCCAAACCAAATTATATATATGGTTCAATTTGGTTTGGTTATTGATCCATGCACACCCCTACTTTTGAAGTATATACTGCTAGTTCTAACTTAGATACATACTGTTAGTTCTATTTTTGTTTTCTAAACTCTAATAAAATAACATACAGCAAGTTTTCGTTTACCTATACTGCTATTCCATTTTTTCATTTATGCTACTTTGTTAAACATACTTTTTCTTAGCATAACTTAAATACTATACTGTTAGTTTTGTCTTTACAAACTAACTTAATTGCTATGCTGTTAATATTTTTAGGAAAAGGAAAGATACTGTTAGTTTTGGTTTTACAAACTATGTTAGTTTTGGTTTTATAAACTAACTTAATTGATATGTTGTTAGTATTTTTAGGAAAAGGAAAGATACTGTTAGTTTTGTCCTTAACTTCATTGCATATTTAGTTCCTAGCTTCATACTGCATATTATACTTTTAATTAATATAACTTCTATTTTCTTTTTAATTTTAATTTAACTAACCTAATACTAATTCAACAACAACAACACCTAATTAACTCTTCTAATTTCTATCACAAATTCTCAACTAAACTCAAAAAAATCTAACATCAATTTTTTCCCCCAAATCCAAAATATATCAAATCAAACTCTAACTATAAGCATTGGAAAATCAAACCCCTTACCTTAGATGTTTGAATGATTCTTGATGTTCCAACCAACCCAAAACCCAAGCTTTGTGTTCTTGTTCTTCTCTTCCTCTCTTCCAAGACCTCTAGCTCTCTCTAACCCTCTCAAAGGGTGTTTTGTATGTTATGTCATAAAACAAGTGTTTGGTTTGTTTAGATGCAAGACATAAGCTATCAAAATACCCAAAAATCCCTTCTTGATATATCACCACTAATTAACACTATATAATATTATTAACCCAAATAATTAAAATAACTCAGAATAATTAAATATCGGTCTGAATAATATTTTACCGAACCGAACGGACTAAAAACCGGACCGAACAAAATAATTATCGGTCCCTCAAAACAAATACCGGACCCAATAAAATAATTACAGGTCCCTCAAAATAAATACCAGACCGAATAAAATAATTACCGGTCCAAAAAAAAACATCGCCGGATATATTAACAGATATACCAGTTAATTTAAATATTCTCGTCGCAAAAATAAACATCAAACGGTAACTCGAAAATATTAATATAATATAATATTAAATAAAACGGGGCGTTACAGAGACTAACCTAAATCTATCTCTAATGTTATCATACAATGATTGATCCTAAAGTTGAGCTTTGAAGGGATATCTCTACCCTAAGTTGACATGTTTGGATAAAAATCCTAATGTCTATCTCGACTCATCATCTATAGATGAATCAAGAAGTCCTAAAGGAGCATAACAAGGTTCTATCACCTAAAACTATGTCTATCTCGAATCATCATCTATAGTTGAACCAAGAGCTCCTAAGGGAACATGCCAAGGGTATATCATCTCAAAACATGCACACAAAGACGAAATCAAGCAAGCAAGCCAATAAGCTCAAGAGAACACGCCTAGAGATACCTATCTAGGTTAGCATGCCAAAGAAAGTCTAGCAAAACTATCCTACGGGGAACACACAATGAGAGCGAAGTTGTGATCTAAATTTCTAAATTGAGTGACTCATCGATCAACAAGAAATCAAGGGAAGCGATGAAATCCTATAGGGATCATGCACTGAGAGCAAAGTAGGATCTCAATTTCTAAATTGAGTGACTCATCGATCAACAACCAAGAAAAATAACACAAGCACAACACATATGGAAAATGCAGTGCGGAATGCTTGCTAGAGGTCTTTAAACAACGACTTCGAGCGCACGCTCTTTATTTCCTACTTCTCATGATACCTTGAAAGCAATAAAGTGCGAAATGAGATAAACAAGAGAAAATACCAAACGGATATCAATCTGTAGTGAAGCGTATCAAAACAAAGAAACCTGACGATCTTCGTGAAAGCTTCACCAATCAAAGAAAAGAGTTAGAAATCAAACGCTCAGAATAAGTATCGATACATCATCGATGTGAAAATAAATCACAATCAAAATCTCAAGTGCATCCGCATATCGCACAATAAACCTGCATATGATTCCAGATCTCAACAAGCAAAGGTGAATCACAAATCTCGAGTAATCGGATAATTGGAATTTAATTTCCTAAAATCAAAATAAATAAAAAATCTAACAAGTTTTTATTTTTATTAATTTCATAACCCTTTTGTCACGAATTTTCTATCAAAATCATGAAAAATAAAATTAAAGGAAACATTAAAAGAAAAAAAATGTTAAGAAGACAAGACCAGGGGGTGGGGAACCAATATTTGGGGAGTGTAGTAACAAACAGGCGCTAGGGCCCAAGGAAATGAGATCCAACAACCATTTTTTATGATACAAAGCTTTGAAACAAAAACATGGTATATTGGGCCAAGCCTCATATAACTCAATCCAACTCTTCTTTCAATCGATACAACTCACCACTAGGCACTAGCTTTCTTCAAATCCCAACTTCACTCATCAAGCATTATAATTTATTCCAGTATATTATTTAAAAAATAAAAAAAAACGGAAACGCTGTGTTTTGGAATCTCACAGTAATGTCTTAAACCTATAATTCCCTCTTTGTCTTCAAGCTTCAATCGAGAACAAACGCAGCGCCAACGGAGGCCATGGGGATTATTCCCTGGAGAAGCCGGTCTATACACGATTCGCTTCGTCCTTCTCGCCTCAGTTTGTACCAAATCTTTCATTCCATTGATCTTTCATCATTTTTACGGAATCTTAAATCCAAGCTAAAACCCTAGGTTTTCCTATGTTTAAATTAAATGCCACATGTTGAGCATCAGAGTCTGTTATGATGGGGTTTCGCTTCCTTTCATTGTACTCTCCAAGGCGTTAACGAGATTGGAAAAAAGAGACACAAAAATCGTACCTACGAAGACGCTCGTATCAGGTAAAGTTATACTCACCTCCACTTTCGTTTTCCTCCGCTTTCTCGTTCTTTTCTTTGACTGCAATGATCTTTTACACTTTTTTCTTCTTTCTGTATGCGGATGTTTGAGTTGTATTGATGCGTTGTGTTCTTGTAGATGAAGATGATGATGAACTTCGAAGATGCAGAGAGTTTTGAAGATGATAACGGTTGGAGGATGCTGATTGAAGGAAATGTTGAAGCAAGTAGAAGAATAGGTTGTTGCTAATTTTTGGAGATTGAGAAGGCTTTAAAGAACGATTATGGAAAGAGCAGAGAGAAATTGCAGCAAAAGTGAAGAATAATGGAATTTGCAGAGAGAAGAATGAGATTTTTTCAGAGATTATTTGTGATTCTTCTGAAGAGAATGAAGAATCGTGGAAGGTTAAAGAAGAGAAGGCAGAGAGAAGATGAGAGAGTTTGTCCTGCGATTCCTCAGAGAATTCCAGAATCCCCCTGACATATCTGGTAAGTTATGTTATATAGTTGGTTAGAGATTAGAAAGTTAGTTAGAGGTTGAATTGATCTGAACTGTTGATTTGAATTTCTGTTAGAGATCTGGATGGCTGGGATTTATTCTATTATGAGTTTACACCTCCCTTGAGTTTTTCTGATTCTGATTAAACCGTGAATTGTTTTTTTAGTTGTTATGATGCACAGCTTGGCTATAACCTTCTTTGCCGTGTCATGAAATTGATTATATAACTTGTTTTGATGTGCAGCTTGGCATTTGGCAGCTGGCTTGGTTTACGCAGTCGGCTTGGGCTTGGAAGCAGCATACTTCTTATTTATGATTTTCTGTTTTCACGGATATACTGGTATTTCTTCTGACATTCCTGATCTTTTCCTTGTATTGTTAAGCTGAGATAATAAGAAATTTTGTTATAGTAGAAGTCATTCCGAAAAATCTATTAGAAGTTAGAAAAGCAAAGAGAACTCTTTTAATATTTTTTAGCTTTTTTGGCTGCTCAATTAACTTGGTCTGATTGTGTTTTCTGGGTAACTGATTTGCTTCTGATTTTTATATGGTGAATTTTCTGGTTATGCGGGTTTGCAAAGTGTTGGAAAGGATTTTGGAAATGTTTACTTTAAAGACTGTAAGTGTGTTCTGACAGGGCTTGTAGCAGGTTTATTTCACATATGCATAGTTGGAAGAATTGGTGACCATTAGGATTTTGGTGATTGGCTTGAAGATTAGAAATGACATAAGTTCAAGACTTTTAGCTTTTATATATTTTCTCTTGTACCATGTGAAGAAAACTTTCATGAATAAGATTGAAATTGTAACTTTCTTTGTATAGAGATGAGTTGAATTGCCACTTGAACGATAACATTGAATGTTCTTTTCTTCACTTAAAACTTTGAGTGGAAATTTCTCATGAATGAAGCATCACTTTGAATCTTATAACAATTTTCTTGAAACATAATGCATCCTTTTGGGTTTCTGTACACCAACAGATAAGCATGGTGAATGGAAAAGCACTTGAAGTTTTAAATTGAATGGATGAACTCGAATAATATGAATGGCCATGGAAGTAGTTTCTACTTGTTATTTTTTCAATAATTTTGAACTCAGGAATGAAATATTTTAATGAATAAAGATTAATCTTGAACTTGGTGCCCATTTGGACATAAACCCTTTATCCACTTTAAGAAACTCAAAATGTTATGAACACAACTTTTTGATGTTATTATGATTAATTAAACTTATAAACTTTTGGCATCAAGAGTTGAATGAATGCTTCAATAAATGAACCCAAATTCAATCTTAACTTTGAAATTCAAACTCCAATTTTCCAATCTTGCTTGAATCAGATTCTTTGACACGATGATCAAAGCAAAGTTTAAGAACCTTGATGACATTCGACTAACTTGAGCACATTAAAACCTTGAGTGGAATTTTAAATAGAAATTTGGATGACGAATCTTGCTTGATACAAACCAATTTTGGAAATTCCCTTGACTCAATATGGACTTGAAGACCTAGAAAGAGAATATGACTTGAGACGATGAAATCAAACTCTGATTTAAAACAATACTAGTCATAAATTTTAGTATCGACAAGCCGCCAACCCTAAATCTCGGAGCCTCAATTTAAAGAACTAATGCCACTGCTCAAACACTCTAAATAGAAACCACAATTATCTTGATTAGGTGTTGGGAAATAAAACCTAATCTCTGGAATTTTATGGAATTGGATGGATCATAGCCCTAATTCCACTGTTCATCTTAAATCGATCATCATATGCAACTCAAGCATTCATGACAAGTTAAACCTCGGGTAACTTCAAATGGTGTGCTTGATCAATGAATCCATGGACTCAGAAATTAAATCTCGACTCTCGAATGCTTGTTATCCTAAGCCCATAGTTAACTAGAAAAACAACTTTGAAACATGATACACAGACCTCTAATTGATGAAGTGAGGAATAGATGATTCCACCGTATCAAAGCCATAATCAACCTCTGGGAGCTTCAAAAACGAATGTACCTTTTGATTCCGAAAGATAGTCTTAATAGAACCTCAATGGAATCAATACTCTTGTCGAAACCCTTATCCCACAAAATAGGAGTAGATGATTCACAAAAGCATATATGCTAAAGCCCACACTCTTTTGGATGGAACCAAATACTCATCACTTAAGAAAAAGCTTCAGATGAAAGTCAAGCTTTTGTAAGAAAATCCAAGAAGTGATGATAGAACTTGTAACATGAGTAATGGGTAGATGTCCTTAATCCTGACTGAGAGAGACTCAAGATAGCCATAAGATGCAACCCTAATTCTAAACTTCATTGCTTACAGACTGACCAGAAGAGTTAGAGGTAATCAACTTTATCAGGTATATACACCTTAACCACTGTGAAACCCCGATATCACACAACCATTGAACTTTGAACCTCAGGCGCTTTATTGAAACGCAAATGTATGCTATGTTAGTGACCTAATGGAATGTATGAAGATGAATGCAAAAACCTAGGCCAAATAAAAGAAATTAGGAGGGGAAATTTTTGGGTGCAACACATATGTGCATATTTCAAGTGAGCATCGGTCTAAACTTGACACAATGTCAAAATAGTGCATCTTTATTGGCTATAACAAAGGTGTGAAGGGGTACAAGTTATGGGATCCGGTTAAGAGGAAGGTGGTTGTAAGCAGAGATTTTATATTTGATGAACAATCGATGTTGAAATAGTCATAAGTGACAGTTGTGTCAGGTACTGAGGTAGAAAATTTCAGTCATTGTTAAACTTGAGACTTCACACACAAGAGATGGGGTGAGTTATGTAGTTTCAAAAACATGGTTCTGAAAAAAAATTTAAGATTAAATCAGAGTTTGAAAAATATTTTTCTATTTCTAAGCAGTGGAAAATAAATATTGAAATAAAATGTGGAATTTAAAGAGTTTAATGGAAGAAGAAAAACACTGAGGGTTATAGAGTTTCGGTCGAAATAAAAGAGACCTACTCCTCTCTTCAAGAATTGGTCTTGTGAGTTTCCATTATATACTTGAGATATTTTAGTAGGTGAAGCTCACGAACCCCCTTATATAAGGAAATGGTGGTTGGCCTACAACCATAATAATACAAGACAGAAGATATGATTGTTTGCGTCTTCTCCACTGAAATTACTGAGACTGAAGTGGCCAAGCTTCCTTCCCAACTGTAGATTTAAATGGTGAGCCTTCTCTCCACCAAAATAACTGAGCTCAATATAGTTTAACAAGATAACCATTAACCTCTTGAGATTTTAATAGGATGATCTTCTAACCCATGGTTTTAAATAGGCTAACCATGAACCTAATGGTAAGTTCATCAATATTGATAATCTTCATCCTTCAAATCAACAAGGATTTCTAAGAGCCTTAATGGGAGTTCATCAATATTAACGATCTTCAACCTAAACAAATATCGGGAACTTATCACACACAATCCCCAACCAAAGCTTTTAACGAGTTTAGCTTCTAACCATATATTTTTATCCCTAAAATGGATTATGTTCATCAAGGTGCATCAATAAAACCTTGAAGAAATTTATAAATTGCTACCCATCCTAAACTACATGGACACCTCACTCACAAAATATGTTTCCTCACAAAAGCATTTAGCTATAAGAACTAGTGAGAGAAAGTGAAACTGAAAACTTAGAGAGAGAGAGAGGGTGTGTGTGTCAATACATAATTCATATTCTAGATGCTTTGAACCAAAGAATGATACCTCTATTTATAGGGTTCAAATCCTCCAAAATAGGAAACATCGTTAAATCGAAAATGATTGTTCTTAATCGATTGAGCTTGTTGATTAGCTCATTTAAAAATAACGGTTATGATTTCCAGAATAGTTAAGAAGTGATATATAGTTGTTGCTAATTGTTTGAGTGATTTCAAATTTCCTTTTTCCCTAAAAGCGCGCCAATCTAATCAATTGACACTTTGTTTTAGTCGATTAGTTTTAGTCAAAAATGTTTTTATGGCTTTTTGAACACTCTCATCATTTTCTATGCAAATTCTATATATACTTCTCAATGTGTATTATTTTATCAGACAAGTCTTATGTGTGTGTATGTGCATGCTTATAGGCATCTACTTCTATAAAGAAAAAACTTTTGCTTTTACAAAAGTTTCACTCAGCTACTGAATTAGGATAACTTCCATAAGCATGTGTCTGATTTATTCATTGTGTTGACATTTTGCTTTAGATGTTTTGAGGCTTTTAATATAATCCATTTGGTTGCCTTTATCAGAGAATTTGAGACTTTGTCAATCCTTTATCAAACTCATGGCTTGCATCTTTGATTGTCTAAGGACATTGGTTAACTTTCTTAATGGTTGCATCTTTATTATGTTGAATGTCATCTTTTTCTGATCTTTCTATGGTTGTCATCACATTGCATCTTTATCATGTTGGTTATGTATTTTGTTCTTCACAATTGTCATCATCATGTTGCATCTTTATCATGCTGAATATCTGTTATGTTCTTCACATTTATTATCAACAGATGTCCTCATCAAAAGAAAACCTATTATTATCAACAAGGTTCCACATTCTCCTCTTTTTATGATGAAAAAGCTTCTCATAGTGGAGGTGGTAAAATAAACAAAAACAATATATTTTAGAGTGATATCACTCCCCCTGAGTTAGATAGAATGTATACCCTCTCCTTGAGAGTATAGTTATCCCTATTTGTCATAATAAAAAAGGTAGGAAAAATATGCAAATTTATATGCAAGAAAAGCACATAGTATCTGTCATACCCCAAATTTGTCTGCCTCAGTGCTACAGTCAAAATTATTTTCAAAGTTAGGTTTTTTGGTTCGTTTACACTAACATTCTTTGGTTTTCATAAATATTAATTTTTAAATTATTTTGCTTACTTATAAATATACATAATAATTTATTTGTATTTTTTAAAATAACAAATGCTTGCTCATCTTCATATACTTTCAATTAGGTTTTTATTTCAAATAAGTAACATAGCACAATTGGTAAGGAAGTAGAGCTTGCAAGCATGAGGTCATGGGTTTGAATCTCACTTGGTGCACTTTAGATTTTTTTTCTTCTTATTTTTATTGTTACTAACTTTAATTTCATTTTTATTTATATTTAGTTAAAAAATCACAAAAATATTGCATTATTAATTTAATTTCCGTTTTTTTATTTATCATTTTTTTAGATTTTTTTTTCTTCATTTAAGCAATGGTTTTATGAATTTTATAAAAAAAATTAATAAAGAAAGTTTTAATTTTGATTTGTTATTTTTACCATTAACTTTATGAGCAAGCAAACTAACTTAGGAAAGATCCAATCTAATTAAAAAAAATTGAAATCTAGAATTTATTTTGGGGCTTTAATTATTTTATTTAATTA